GTGTACATCATTAAATGTCCTAAATTATGTCTGTGTACATCACTAAATGTCCTAAATTATGTCTGTGTACATCACTAAATGTCCCATGTTATGTCTGTACATCACAGAATGTCCCATGTTGTGTCTGTGTACATCACTAAATGTCCCATGTTGTGTCTGTGTACATCACTAAATGTCCCATGTTGTGTCTGTGGACATCACTGAATGTCCTAAATTATGTCTGTGTACATCACTGAATGTCCTAAATTATGTCTGTGTACATCACTGAATGTTCCATGTTATGTCTGTGTACATCACTGAATGTTCCATGTCGTGTCTGTGTACATCACAGACTGTTCCATGTCGTGTCTGTGTACATCACAGAATGTTCCATGTTATGTCTGTGTACATCACAGAATGTTCCATGTTATGTCTGTGTACATCTCAGAATGTTCCATGTTAAGTCTGTACATCACTAAATGTCCCATGTTAAGTCTGTGTACATCACTGAATGTCCTAAATTATGTCTGTGTACATCACTGAATGTCCCATATTATGTCTGTGTACATCACTGAATGTTCCATGTTATGTCTGTGTACATCACTAAATGTTCCATGTTGTGTCTGTGTACATCACTAAATGTCCTATGTTGTGTCTGTGTACATTACTGAATGTCCCATGTTCAGTCTGTGTACATCACTGAATGTCCTAAATTATGTCTGTGTACATCACTAAATGTCCCATGTTAAGTCTGTGTATATCACTGAATGTCCTAAATTATGTCTGTGTACATCACTGAATGTCCCATGTTAAGTCTGTGTACATCACTGAATGTCCTAAATTATGTCTGTGTACATCACTAAATGTTCCATTTTGTGTCTGTGTACATCACTGAATGTCCTAAATTATGTCTGTACATTACTAAATGTTCCATGTTATGTCTGTGTATATCACTGAATGTTCTAAATTATGTCTGTGTACATCACTGAATGTCCCATGTTATGTCTGTGTATATCACTGAATGTCCCATGTTAAGTCTGTGTATATCACTGAATGTTCCATGTTAAGTCTGTGTATATCACTGAATGTCCTAAATTATGTTTGTGTACATCACTGAATGTCCCATGTTATGTCTGTGTGCGTCACTGAATGTCCCATGTTATGTCTGTGTGCGTCATTGAATGTCCCATGTTAAGTCGGTGTATATCACTGAATGTCCTAAAGTATGTCTGTATATCACTGAATGTCCTAAATTATGTCTGTGTGCGTCACTGAATGTCCCATGTTATGTCTGTGTATATCACTGAATGTCCTAAATTATGTTTGTGTACATCACTGAATGTTTTCTGTTACTATATGATTACAGTGCTGCTGCTATCCTGTTTGAGACATCACGTTGTGTTATTGTTCTTTGCTTTCATTTTTCATTGACTGTTCTGTATAGTGTTTGAGTCCAACATCATCTTGTCTGATTATCACTTCTGCATACAAGATTCTGTGTTTCCATTGACTGTTCTTGTTATCACTTCTGCATACAAGATTCTGTGTTTCCATCACCATTTCCTGTTTGATTCTGTCTTCTTGCTAGTGTCATGACAGTAATGTTAGCGCCTAACATATTCTAGTCTGTCAACATGACTTGAGTCTAACATCATCTTATCTGACATCATTCAATAGTGTTTGAGTCTTCAAATCTGGCATCATCTTGTCTGACAATATCACTCAGTAGTCTTGTATAAAGTAAAGTAAAGATAGGCACAATATAGGTGATGTGGTCTGCATCTCAAGGCTGGGTTGACCTGGGAGCCAAGGTCATTTTTGAACAAAGTCCACCTCAGCCAGGGAGCGAACCCACGACCTTCCGATCCGCGGCGAGCGTCTAGCTGCTCTGCTGCGGCGGTAGTCTTGTATGGTGTCATCATTTCTTTGAATATCACTATTCATGCCCTATGGTGATTTTCTAATTTCACATTAATTATCTGAATTCATAACATCAGACACTAGCCTGTTTTCATTTGACCATTCAGTTGTAGTGTGTCCACCTCTGTATGCTCTCATTATATGCTGCAATCAGAGGTTCAACTATGCCCATTATATGCTGCGATCAGAGTTTCAACTATGCCCATTATATGTTGGTCTCAGAGGTTCAACTGTGCCCATTATATGCTGCAATCAGAGGTTTAACTGTGCCCATTATATGTTGGTCTCAGAGGTTTAACTATGCCCATTATATGCTACAATCAGAGGTTCAACTATGCCCATTATATGCTGCAATCAGAGGTTTAACTATGCCCATTATATGCTACAATCAGAGGTTCAACTGTGCCCATTATATGCTGCAATCAGAGGTTCAACTGTGCCCATTATATGCTGCAATCAGAGGTTCAACTGTGCCCATTATATGCTGCAATCAGAGGTTTAACTGTGCCCATTATATGTTGGTCTCAGAGGTTTAACTGTGCCCATTATATGCTGCAATCTGAGGTTCAACTGTGCCCATTATATGCTGCAATCAGAGGTTTAACTGTGCCCATTATATGTTGGTCTCAGAGGTTTAACTGTGCCCATTATATGCTGCAATCTGAGGTTCAACTGTGCCCATTATATGCTGCAATCAGAGGTTCAACTGTGCCCATTATATGCTGCAATCAGAGGTTCAACTGCCCATTCTCTGATGTCATCAGACGCTGGACTATTCCCATTCGACCATCCAGTCTCAGGGGTTCACCTGAGGATAGACATGACAGATGTCGGTCACAGATGGCACTGGTAGATGACAGTGACAGATGCCAGTCACAGATGGCAGTCACAGATGACAGTGGCAGATGGCAGTGACAAAAGCCAGTGAAGGATGGTAATGACAGATGACAGTCACAGATGACAGTGGCAGATGGCAGTGACAGAAGTCAGTGAAGGATGGTATTGACAGATGGCAGTCACAGATGGCAGTCACAGATGACAGTGGCAGATGGCAGTGACAAAAGCCAGTGAAGGATGGTAATGTCAGATGACAGTTACAGATGACAGTCACAGATGACAGTGACAAAAGCCAGTGAAGGATGGTAATGACAGATGACATTCACAGATGGCAGTGAAAGAAACAGTGGTTGTAAATGAGACGATGGTTGTGAATGAGATAAATGTTTTGATTCAAAAAGTGATTGTGAATGAGATCTTCTTTTCTTCTTTTGTCAAAATCTGCTTGTGCCGCTAGGCGTCGCAGTATATCAGATGATCGGCAACCGAGCCAGGGCGCGCTCAGTCACTTCATATGCCGTGATGTTATGAAGTTTCAAGTTGTCCGTGACTCCTTCAATCCATCTTCTTCTTGGACTTCCCCTGCCTCTTGGAGTTTCGATTTTCATGTTGTATGCTCTTGATGCTGGCATCGTTGGTTCCATTCTCATTAGGTGACCAAACCATTTCATTCTTTGCTTCTCAATAAATTTAACGATGGGTATGGTTCCAATAGTTCTTGTAATCACATCGTTTCTCACTCGATCTCTTCTGGTTTTATTCGCAGCCATTCTCAAACATCTCATTTCACAGGTGGTAAGTCTTCTCTGGTGTTCTTTTGTTAATGTCCAAGTCTGACATTGATAACCTAATGTCGGTATAAAGATTGTATTTATAATTAAATGGATTTAAGAGTTCACAGAAATTTGCTCTAGAAACAATATATGAGATTAGTGAATAAGATAATGCATGTAAATAGTTGCGCCCCCCCCCCCCCCCCCCCCCCGCGCCCCCCCCTTCCAGTATATGTCATCATCAAGTGGGTAAGGTTACTTTGTCATCAGTTGGGTTACATTATTCTGTATCATCAAGTGGGTTAAATTACTCTGTATCATAAAGTGGGTTAAATTATTCTAGATTATCAGTTGCGTTAGTCGGCTCTGTGGCTAATCGATGCTAACGCTTCGTAATGCCGGAATGCCAGGGTCCCAGCTGCGGGCCTTGGTTTCGACAGTGGTATCAAGAAAGCCGACCATCCAGAAAGCAATGGCAAACTACTGTATGTAAATTTGCCTAGAAAAACCACACAACGGCCAGGGGCTGTTGGGGTTGGTTCTGCAATGTCCTGTAAAGAATAGGCAACTAACCTATCAGTTGGGTTGCATTATTCTGTATCATCACCTGGGTTAGATTTATCTGTCATCAAGTGGGTTAGGTTACTTTGTCATCAAGTGGGTTAGGTTACTTTGTCATCAAGTGGGTTACATTATTCTGTATCATCAAGTGGGTTAGATTTATCTGTCATCAAGTGGGTTATGTTACTTTGTCATCAAGTGGGTTAGTTTACTTTGTCATCAAGTGGGTTACATTATTCTGTATCATCAAGTGGGTTAGATTTATCTGTTATCAAGTTGGTTAGTGTTACCGTGTCCTTAGGTTGGTTAGGGTTATTTTGTGTCATCAAGTTGGTTAGGTTACTGTCATCAAGTTGGTTAGGTTACTGTCATCAAGTTGGTTAGGTTACTGTCATCAAGTTGGTTAGGTTACTGTCATCAAGTTGGTTAGGTTACTGTCATCAAGTTGGTTAGGTTACTGTCATCAAGCCTTTGGCTAATGTTAACAACCTTAATTTTGGTGTTAGCTTTCCCTGCCTTTGACCTATTTCTAGTTAAACTTCACTGCAGAACTTTGTGCCTTTCTTCACCCTGTCCTTATCTCTTGACCTGAGAGGCCCTACCAATAACTACACTACTGTCATCATAACTCTTGAGCTCACTAGGAACTTAAGCTCCTCTACCATTGCTGTCAGCATAACTTTTGAGCTCACTGGGAACTTAAGCTCCTCTACCACTGCTGTCAGCATAACCCTTGAGCTCACTGGGAACTTAAGCTCCTCTACCACTATTGTCAGCATAACACTTGGGTTCATTGGGAACTTAAGCTCCTCTACCACTGCTGTCAGCATAACTCTTGGGCTCACTGGGAACTTAGGCTCCTCTACCACTGCTGTGAGCATAACTCTTGAGCTCACTGGAAGCTTAAGCTCCTCTACCACTGCTGTCAGCATAAATCTTGAGCTCAATGGGAACTTAAGCTCCTCTACCACTGCTGTCATCATAACTCTTGGGCTCACTGGGAACTTAAGCTCCCCTACCATTGCTGTCAGCATAACTCTTGAGCTCACTGGGAACTTAAGCTCCTCTACCACTGATGTCATCATAACTCTTGGGCTCACTGGGAACTTGAGCTCACCTACCACTGCTGTCAGCATAACTCTTGAGCTCACTGGGAACTTAAGCTCCCCTACCATTGCTGTCAGCATAACTCTTGGGCTCACTGGAAACTTAAGCTCCTCTACCACTGCTGTCATCATAATTCTTGGGCTCACTGGAAACTTGAGCTCACCTACCACTGCTGTCAGCATAACTCTTGAGCTCACTGGGAACTTAAGCTCCTCTACCACTACATTCAGCATAACTCTTGAGCTTACTAAGAACTTAAGCTCCCCTACCACTGCTGTCAGCATAACTCTTGAGCTCACTGGGAACTTAAGCTCCTCTACCATTGCTGTCAGCATAACTCTCGGGCTCACTGGGAACTTAAGCTCCTCTACCATTGCTGTCAGCATAGCTCTTGAGCTTACTGGGAACTTAAGCTCCTCTACTATTGCTGTCAGCATAACTCTCAGGCTCACTTGGAACCTGAGCTCACCTACCACTGCTGTCATCATAACTCTTGGGCTCACTGGGAACTTAAGCTCCCCTACTACTGCTGTCAGCATAACTTTTGAGCTCACTGGGAACTTAAGCTCCTCTACCATTGCTGTCAGCATAACTTTTGGGTTTATTGAGAACTTAAGCTCCTCTACCATTGCTGTCAGCATAGCTCTTGAGCTTACTGGGAACTTAAGCTCCTCTACTATTGCTGTCAGCATAACTCTCAGACTCACTTGGAACTTAAGCTCCTCTACAATTGCTGTTGGCATAGCTCTTGAGCTTACTGGGAACTTAAGCTCCTCTACCATTGCTGTCAGCATAACTTTCAGGCTCACTGGGAACTTAAGCTCCTCTACCATTGCTGTCAGCATAGCTCTTGAGCTTACTGGGAACTTAAGCTTCTCTACCATTGCTGTCAGCATAACTCTCAGGCTCACTTGGAACTTAAGCTCCTCTACCTATGCTGTTGGCATAAGTCTTGAGCTCACTGGGATCTTAAGCTCCTCTACCATTGCTGTCAGCATAACTCCCAGGCTCACTGAGAACTTAAGCTCCTCTACCATTGCTGTTGGCATAACTCTCAGGCTCACTTGGAACTTAAGCTCCTCTACCATTGCTGTTGGCATAGCTCTTGAGCTCACTGGGATCTTAAGCTCCTCTACCATTGCTGTCAGCATAACTCTTGGGCTCACTGGAAACTTCTCTTGAGCTCACTGGGAACTTAAGCTCCTCTACCACTGCTGTCATCATAACTCTTGAGCTCACTGGGAACTTAAGCTCCTCTACCACTGCTGTCATCATAACTATTGGGCTCACTGGGAACTTGAGCTCACCTACCATTGCTGTCAGCATAACTCTTGAGCTCACTAGGAACTTAAGCTCCTCTACCATTGCTGTCAGCATAACTCTTGGGCTCACTGGAAACTTGAGCTCACCTACCATTGCTGTCAGCATAACTCTTAAGCTCACTGGGAACTTAAGCTCTTCTACCATTGCTGTCAGAATAGCTCTTGGGCTCACTGGGAACTTGAGCTCACCTACCACTGCTGTCAGTATAACTCTTGAGCTTACTGGGAACTTAAGCTTCCCTACCATTGCTGTTGGCATAACTCTTGAGCTCACTGGGAACTTAAGCTCCTCTACCACTACATTCAGCATAACTCTTGAGCTTACTGGGAACTTAGGCTCAACTACCACTGCTGTCAGCATAACTCTTGAGCTTACTGGGAACTTAAGCTTCCCTACCATTGCAGATGGCATAACTCTTGAGCTCACTGGGAACTTAAGCTCCTCTACCACTACATTCAGCATAACTCTTGAGCTTACTGGGAACTTAGGCTCAACTACCACTGCTGTCAGCATAACTCTTGAGCTCACTGGGAACTTAAGCTCCTCTACCATTGCTGTCAGCATAACTCTTGGGTTCATTGGGAACTTAAGCTCCTCTACCATTGCTGTCAGCATAGCTCTTGAGCTTACTGGGAACTTAAGCTCCTCTACCATTGCTGTCAGCATAACTCTCAGGATCACTTGGAAATTAAGCTCCTCTACCATTGCTGTTGGCAAAAACCTCGAGCTTACTGGGAACTTAAGCTCCTCTACCATTGCTGTCAGCATAACTCTCAGTCTCACTGGGAACTTAAGCTCCTCTACCATTGCTGTCAGCATAGCTCTTGAGCTTACTGGGAACTTAAGCTACTCTACCACTGCTGTCATCATAACTCTTGAGCTCACTGGGAACTTAAGCTCCTCTACCACTGCTGTCAGCATAACTCTAAGGTTCATTGGGAACTTAAGCTCCTCTACAATTGCTGTTGGTATAACTCTTGAGCTCACTGGGAACTTAAGCTCCACTACTATTGCTGTCAGCATAACTCTCAGGCTCACTTGGAACTTAAGCTCCTCTACAATTGCTGTTGGAATAACTCTTGAGCTCACTGGGAACTTAAGCTCCTCTACCATTGCTGTCAGCATAACTCTCAGGCTCACTTTGAACTGAAGCTCCTCTACCATTGCTGTTGGCATAACTCTTAAGCTTACTGGGATCTTAAGCTCCTCTACCATTGCTGTCAGCATAACTCCCAGGCTCACTGAGAACTTAAGCTCCTCTACCATTGCTGTCAGCATAACTCTTGAGCTCACTGGGAATGTAAGCTCCCCTACAATTGCTGTCAGCATAACTCTTGAGCTCACTGGAACTTGAGCTCCTCTACCATTGCTGTCAGCATAACTCTTGAGCTTACTGGGAACTTAAGCTCCTCTACCATTGCTGTCAGCATAATTCTCAGGCTCACTTTGAACTTAAGCTCCTCTACCATTGCTGTTGGCATAACTCTTGAGCTCACTGGGATCTTAAGCTCCTCTACCATTGCTGTCAGCATAACTCCCGGGCTCACTCTACCATTGCTGTCAGCATAACTCTTGAGCTCACTGGGAATGTAAGCTCCCCTACAATTGCTGTCAGCATAACTCTTGAGCTCACTGGAACTTGAGCTCCTCTACCATTGCTGTCAGCATAACTCTTGAGCTTACTGGGAACTTAAGCTCCTCTACCACTGCTGAAAAGTGGAGACAGAATGACGGGAAAGGCTGTTGTATTTCCATCTCATCTCTTTTCAGTATTGTCTCCACCCTGCCAGTCTGTCTCATCTTCTTCCAGTATTGTCCCTACCCTGCCAGTCTGTCTCATCTCCTTCCAGCATTGTCCCTATCTTGCCAGTTAATCTGTCTCTTGTCTTTCTAGTCCCGCCCCTTTCCTGACAATTTGTCTGCCTCAGTTCCTTCCAGTCTGTTCTCTGTTGTCACCAGTTAGTCTGCCTCTGTGTTTTTAAAATTACTGCACACAGAAACAAGTGCCCTAGTTTGTTGTCTCATAACCTTGAAACTTACCAGACTTAATGATTGTGGTTGCACCAGCCACGTTCACCACACATGGTATCCCATACTCACGGGCCACTACTGCACCTGTTGCCATATCACATGTTAGCATTGAGAGAGAGAAAGAGAGATATACACACTCAGAGAGTGTCTTACATTTCGACCCTTCCAAACACCCTTCTCTCACACAGCAGTTGTATTTTTTGAAACAATAAAGCATGTTATGTTTATGTAATAATATGCATATTATGAATATCAAGAAAAAACAAAGAAGGAAAGAGATAAGGATAGAGAGAAAGAGACACATAGAGAGAGAATAAGGAAGAAGGTTCCCGGTGAGCTATGCAGTCAGCCCAGGAGTTGAAAAAATGTGACCAATAAGTTGTAGCACTATAGGCTAAAAAACAGTTGTAACGCTACAGGATAAATTATTTTTTTTTCTCCGTGTGGGTTCCTGGACCCCATTGTGGGGAAAACAAGAACAGACCCATTGCCTGCCAACAAGCATGTCTTAAATGTGTCATCCTTCAAAGTCAGAGTGCATCTGCCCAAGCAGCAAGAAACAGCCAAATGTACACACATAAGTCAGTAAAACTGATGTTTACACAAAACTCAGGCCCTGGCACAAAACCAAAGTCCAAATGAATGAAACACCAGGACATTCTACTAGAGCTTACAGCTAGTGAACAACCAGGACATTCCACCTGAGCCTACAGCTAGTGAACAACCAGGACATTCCACTAGAGCTTACAGCTAGTGAACAACCAGGACATTCTACCAGAGCTTACAGCTAGTGAACAACCAGGACATTCTACCAGAGCTTACAGCTAGTGAACAACCAGGACATTCTACCAGAGCTTACAGCTAGTGAACAACCAGGACATTCTACCTGAGCCTACAGCTAGTGAACAACCAGGACATTCCACTAGAGCTTACAGCTAGTGAACAACCAGGACATTCTACCAGAGCTTACAGCTAGTGAACAACCAGGACATTCCACCAGAGCTTACAGCTAGTGAACAACCAGGACATTCCACTAGAGCTTACAGCTAGTGAACAACCAGGACATTCCACAAGAGTTTACAGCTAGTGAACAACCAGGACATTCCACCAGAGCCTACAGCTAGTGAACAACCAGGACATTCCACTAGAACTTACAGCTAGTGAACAACCAGGACATTCCACTAGAGCTTACAGCTAGTGAACAACCAGGACATTCCACCAGAGCTTACAGCTAGTGAACAACCAGGACATTCCACCAGAGCTTACAGCTAGTGAACAACCAGGACATTCCACCAGAGCCTACAGCTAGTGAACAACCAGGACATTCTACCAGAGCCTACAGCTAGTGAACAACCAGGACATTCCACCAGAGCTTACAGCTAGTGAACAACCAGGACATTCCACCAGAGCTTACAGCTAGTGAACAACCAGGACATTCCACCAGAGCTTACAGCTAGTGAACAACCAGGACATTCCACCAGAGCTTACAGCTAGTGAACAACCAGGACATCCATCAGAGCTTACAGCTAGTGAACAACCAGGACATCCATCAGAGCTTACAGCTAGTGAACAACCAGGACATTCTACTAGAGCTTACAGCTAGTGAACAACCAGGACATTCTACTAGAGCTTACAGCTAGTGAACAACCAGGACATTCTATCAGAGCTTACAGCTAGTGAACAACCAGGACATTCCACCAGAGCTTACAGCTAGTGAACAACCAGGACATTCTATCAGAGCTTACAGCTAGTGAACAACCAGGACATTCTATCAGAGCTTACAGCTAGTGAACAACCAGGACATTCCACCAGAGCTTACAGCTAGTGAACAACCAGGACATTCTATCAGAGCTTACAGCTAGTGAACAACCAGGACATTCTACCAGAGCTTACAGCTAGTGAACAACCAGGATATTCCACCAAAGCTTACAGCTAGTGAACAACCAGGACATTCCACAAGAGTTTACAGCTGATGAACAACCAGGACATTCCACCAGAGCTTACAGCTAGTGAACAACCAGGACATTCCACCAGAGCTTACAGCTAGTGAACAACCAGGACATTCCACCAGAGCTTACAGCTAGTGAACAACCAGGACATTCCACCAGAGCTTTTAGCTAGTGAACAACCAGGACATTCCATCAGAGCTTACAGCTAGTGAACAACCAGGACATTCCACCAAAGCTTACAGCTGATGAACAACCAGGACATTCTACCAGAGCTTACAGCTATTGAACAACCAGGACATTGCACCAAAGCTTACAGCTGATGAACAACGAGGACATTCCACCAGAGCTTACAGCTAGTGAACAACCAGGACATTCCACCAGAGCTTACAGCTAGTGAACAACCAGGACATTCCACCAGAGCTGATAGCTAGTGAACAACTAGGACATTCCACCAGAGCTGATAGCTAGTGAACAACTAGGACATTTCACCAGAGCTGATAGCTAGTGAACAACTAGGACATTCCACCAGAGCTGATAGCTAGTGAACAACCAGGACATTCCACCAGAGCTGATAGCCGGTGAACACAAAAGAGGTAGAAAAATCAACATCTGTAACACTGTAGACCCACTATATGTAGCTAGTACCTAGATTCTCTGCTTTATTATTTACTTGCTTAGAATGTGCCTCATTCCGAGATTCGTAACATTTATTTAGCATGGTGTATGTCAAAAGTGGGCGGGGTCCGTGGCTAAGGCGTTGCGAGTCTGACTCGTAATCCAATGTACCGCGATCAAAATCCACTGCGAGCTGCGTGGATTTTTATCGTAGTATGGGGCGTTGCAGGTCGACCCAGCCTCAAATGGGTACCAGGATGGGCTGTCCTGGGAAAGTAAAGACGGCCGGCGTAATGCTGACCACATTACCCACCGAGTGCCGATTGGTCTGTAAAAATATGAGCGATGTGCCTAAAGGCGTGTAAGATCTTTACTTTACTTACTTATGTCAAAAGTGCAGGAGCCATTTTAAAACTGTCATCACGAAGCCACTGTGTTTGTATCATGATGTCACATGCTTAACACTTTTAACATCAATAAAAACAATACTGACAGTTTACAAGACAATAGTGGTGGTCATTGTAATTTCCATCATACTTTTAATGTGGTCATTTATAGTCCCTCAAAATGTAATAAAACAGAATCAAGGTACTAGCCAAAACTGTGAGCAAACATGTAAAAGAGAATGCCACAAGTGAGTGTTTCCTGTGCTCACCGTGTGATATCAGACCACCCAGTTCCGTGACCAGTCCTGCAATGAGGGGGAAGTAGGGAGACCAGCCAACATCTGTACATCTGACAACCAGAATGTCCCCAGCCTGCAGACAGACAACACATTTCTATAATAATGTGCTCCCACCTGGAGACAACAAATGTCCAATAAAATTACTTCCATCCTGGACACAAAACACACATCGAAGAAAATTACCTCTGCCTGGACACACAACACATGTCTATGAAAATTACCTCTGGCCTGGACACACAATACACATCTATGAAAATCACCTCTGGCCTTGACACACAACACACATCTGTGAAAATCACCTCTGGCCTGGACACACAACACATGTCTATGAAAATCACCTTTGGCCTTGACACACAACACATGTCTATGAAAATCACCTCTGGCCTTGACACACAACACACATCTGTAAAAATCACCTCTGGCCTGGACACACAGCACACATCTGTGAAAATCACCTCTGGCCTGGACACACAACACATGTCCTTTCTTCGTTGGCCAATTGCCTTAGCCTGCTAACCTCTTTATACCCTTTTAGTGTCAAAGACGCATTGAAGCAAATAATTATTTCTTCCTTTGTCATCATTTGGAAATTATCACGATACTTTGCTTGGTGCATCAATAAAACTATCATGATAGTTTGCTGAATACGTAATAAGAACTGTCATGATACTGGCTGAATGCTTCATCAGCACTACCATTATGCTGGCTGAATGCACCATTAGAACTATCATGATATTGGCAGAATGCACCATTAGAACTATCATGATACTGGCTGAATGCTTCATCAGCACTACCATGATACTGGCTGAATGCACCATTAGAACTATCATGATATTGGCTGAATGCACCTTTAGAACTATCATGATACTGGCTGAATGCTTCATCAGCACTACCATGATACTGGCTGAATGCACCATTAGAACACCATGGTACTGGCTGAATGGACCTTTAGAACTACCATGATACTGACTGAATGGACCTTTAGAACTACCATAGCTAAATGCACCATTAGAACTACTGTGATACTGGCTTAATGCACCATTAGAACTATCATGATACTGGCTGAATGCACCATTAGAACTACCATGATACTGGCTGAATGCATCATGCATGATCATTCTCTTGCTTTTGCTTCTTTTTATTGCTTGTTCTCCAGCTCCTTCTCCAGTGTGTAGTTTGGTGTGAGAATAAGAAATACAGAGCTATGAGAATAAGATTTTTAGGGTTGCATGAAGAATAATGATAAGAGGTGAGAAAAGTAATGGTAGAGCTGTATGAGTGAGAATTGTAGAGTTGTAACAATACAAATTGTAGAGTTGTAGTCTTGTAACAATAAGAACTACAATGGGCACAGGGTGAACTTTATTTATCAAACAAAAAAGCCCTAAATGAACGATAGAAGGCAGAACGACCTTAATCAGCCAGGCATCCTGTAGATCATGTACAACTTGGGCTGGTCCAGTCACCTGACCTTGACTGACTGGCATACCTGAATGATATCATAACAACAAGCAATTGTATAACGTACTGCTAAACTGAACATAACAAGCAATTTAATAACGTACTGCTAAACTGGACATAACATATTCATCATCATCATAGCTGAATAACATGTTAAGTGGTTGCTGTTGACTGTTTGATCAGTCTCTTCCACTTCCATCAGTCAGATTTAGTGGACTTCATGCTTGCATGTTTGCCACCCATCCAGTCAGATTTAGTGGACTTCATGTTTGCATGTTTGCCACCCATCCAGTCACCACATTCTGTATCTAGCTAGCTCATGGTTTCTCCTCCGCCTCCACAGAGTCTGTAGGATCATGTTGGAGAGGCTGGTCTGTAGGATCATGTTGGAGAGGCTGGTCTGTAGGATCATGTTGGAGAGGCTGGTCTGTAGGATCATGTTGGAGAGGCTGGTCTGTAGGATCATGTTGGAGAGGCTGGTCTGTAGGATCATGTTGGAGAGGCTGGTCTGTAGGATCATGTTGGAGAGGCTGGTCTGTAGGATCATGTTGGAGAGGCCGGTCTTGTTACACGTCTACACCATTGTATTTGATGTCCTTTTATTGTGCTTAAAAGGGGTGCAAGGTCACCCAAGTTTTGAGTCTGAAATGGCAAAATTAGCCATTTCTGATGTGAGATGTTCATCAACTAGTAATTTACAGATAGTGCAAAGTAAAAAGCAAGTAATTTACACATGCTGTAATTTATTAGTAATGTGGTAATTTACCTAGGATGTCTTACACTAATCATGTAGTAGTAGTAATGTGGTAATTTACCTAGGATGTCTTACACTAATCATGTAGTAGTAGTAATGTGGTAATTTACCTAGGATGTCTTACACTAATCATGTAGTAGTAGTAATGTGGTAATTTACCTAGGATGTCTTACACTAATCATATAGTAGTAGTAATGTGGTAATTTACCTAGGATGTCTTACACTAATCATGTAGTAGTAGTAATGTGGTAATTTACCTAGGATGTCTTACACTAATCATGTAGTAGTAGTAATGTGGTAATTTACCTAGGATGTCTTACACTAATCATGTAGTAGTAGTAATGTGGTAATTTACCTAGGATGTCTTACACTAATCATGTAGTAGTAGTAATGTGGTAATTTACCTAGGATGTCTTACACTAATCATATAGTAGTAGTAATGTGGTAATTTACCTAGGATGTCTTACACTAATCATATAGTAGTAGTAATGTAAACAATATATGTCTAACTAATCTAGGTTAAAATTGGAATATATAGTTTGGTTGGTTTCTTTTATTTCACCTTATTGTGGGGACTGAGATTTCTTGGGAAGTTCTGGGGAAAGTCCATTATTGGGGGTGGGGGGGGGGGGGGGGGGAAATGTTGAGTTAGGGTTAGTGTTAATTGGTGTTCATTTCACACCCTAACACACCTATATATTATTGTACATAGGAAGACAGTGATTCACCTGGGGAGTAATTGATTCACCTGGGGAGACATTGATTCATCTGGGGAGACAGTGATTCACCTGTGGAGACAGTGATTCACCTGGGGAGACAGTGATTCACCTGGGGAGACAGTGATTCACCTGGAGAGTCATTGATTCACCTGGGAAGACAGTGATTCACATGGAGAGTCATTGATTCACATGGAGAGTCATTGATTCACCCGAAGAGTCGTTGATTCACATAGGGAGACAATGATTCACATGGGGAGACAGGGATTCACCTGGGGAGACAAGTGATTCACCCGGGGAGACAAGTGATTCACCTGGGGAGACAAGTGATTCACCTGGCAAGACATTGATTCACCTGGAGAGACAGTGATTCACCTGGAGAGATAGTGATTCACCTGGAGAGACAGTGATTCACATGGAGAGACAGTGATTCACCTGGAGAGACAGTGATTCACCCAGGGAGACAGTGATTCACTTGGAGAGACAGTGATTCACCTGGGGAGACAGTGATTCACCTGGGGAGACAGTGATATACCTGGAAAGACAAGTGATTCACCTGGGGCAACAATGATTCATGTGGGGAGACAGTGATTCACATGGGGAGACTGATTCACCTGGAGAGACAGTGATTCACCTGGAGAGACAGTGATGCACATGGAGAGACAGTGATTCACATGGGGAGACAGTGATTCACTTGGAGAGACAGTGACTCACCTGGGGAGACAGTGACTCACCTGGAAAGACAAGTGATTCACCTGGGGAGACAGCAATTCACATGGGGAGACTGATTCACCTGGAGAGACAGTGATTCACCTTGAGAGACAGTGATTCACATGGAGAGGCAGTGATTCGCTTTGAGAGACAGTGATTTGCCTGGAGAGACAGTGATTTGCCTGGAGAGACAGTGATTCACCTGGAGAGACAGTGATTTGCCTGGGGAGACAGTGATTTGCCTGGGGAGACAGTGATTCACCTGGGGAGACAGTGATTCACCTGAGGAAACAGTGATTCACCTGGAGAGACAGTGATTTACCTGGAGAGACAGTGGTTCACCTGGAGAGACAGTGATTCACCTAAGGAGACAACTAATTACCTGGAGAGACAACTATTCACCTGGAGGGACAGTGATTCACCTGGAGGGACAGTGATTCACCTGGAAGGACAGTGATTCACCTAGGTAGACAAGTGATTTACCTGAGGAGACAACTACACTTGGAGAGACAGTGATTCACCTGGGTATACAGTGATTTACCTGAGGAGACAAATACACTTGTAGAGACAACAATTCATCTGTGGAGACAGTGATTCACACTGAGACACAGTGATTCACCTGCAGAGACAGTGATTTACCTGGAGGGACAGTGATTCACCTGGAGAGACAGTGATTCACCTGGGGAGACAGTGATTCACCTGGAAAGACAGCAATTGCTCTTGGAGACACTACATTTAGTGATGTTGTATTTTTTGTATTCATACTTGTGTACGAATGATTTGAATCAAATCTATCAAACCATTCACACTTATGGTGTAAATTTGTGTAGTGTGCTGAGAAAGGCTCTCTGGTAGTAATGTTCACTTGTCGCTTGGGATAATTTGAGGCGGACTGGTTCTATGTTGCATCTGGTTGATATATTTTCTAGATAGTCAAACATAGGAATCAGTGGACACAGCAAAATGTGGGAATCACCTGTGTATGCAAGATGTGGGAATCACCTGTGTATGTAAGATGTGGCAATCACCTGTGTATGCACAATGTGGGAATCACCTGTGTATGTAAGATGTGGCAATCACCTGTGTATGCACAATGTGGGAATCACCTGTGTATGTAAGATGTGGCAATCACCTGTGTATGCAAAATGTGGGAATCACCTGTGTATGCAAAATGTGGGAATCACCTGTATATGCAAGATGTGGGAATCACCTGTGTATGCAAGATGTGGGAATCACCTGTGTATGCAAAATGTGTGAATCACCTGTGTATATAAGATGTGGGAATCACCTGTTAATGCAAGATGTGGGAATCACCTGTGTATGCAAGATGTGTGAATCACCTGTGTATGCAAGATGTGGGAATCACCTGTGTATGCAAGAATAGTTCTGAGAGAGACCAGAAGTTATGAAACAATAATATACTGACCTTTCAAACAATCCAAGGTTGCAAGGCTTGTCTCCTGATTGCAGGTGACCACCTGGGAATGTAATGTTACAATATTCTAATCTCCTATGACTCCATACAATTTTCTAATCTCCCATATCTCAATACAATATTATAATCTCCCATGTCTCCATACAATATTCTAATCTCCCATGTCTCCATACAATATTCTAATCTCTCATGTCTCCATACAATATTCTAATCTCTCATGTCTCCATACAATATTCTAATCTCCTATGACTCCATACAATTTTCTAATCTCCCATATCTCAATACAATATTATAATCTCTCATGTCTCCATACAATATTCTAATCTCCCATGTCTCCATACAATATTCTAATCTCTCATGTCTCCATACAATATTCTAATCTCCCATGTCTCCATACAATATTCTAATCTGCCATGTCTCCATACAATATTCTAATCTGCCATGTCTCCATACAATATTCTAATCTGCCATGTCTCCATACAATATTCTAATCTCCCATGTCTCCATACAATATTCTAATCTCCCATGTCTGCATGCAATATTCCAATCTTCCATGTCTCCATTCAATATTATAGTCTGCCATGTCTCCATTCAATATTCTAATCTCCCATGTCTCCATTTAATATTCTAGTCTCCCATGTCTCCATTCAATATTCTAGTATCCCATGTCTCCATTCAATATTCTAGTCTTCCATGTCTCCATTCAATATTCTAGTCTCCCATGTCTCCATTCAATATTCTAGTCTCCCATGTCTCCATTCAATATTCTAGTATCCCATGTCTCCATTCAATATTCTAGTATCCCATGTCTCCATACAATATTCTAATCTCCCATGTCTCCATACAATATTCTAATCTCCCATATATCCATACAATATTCTAATCTCCCATGTCTCCATAAAAATTTTTAGTCTCCCATGTTTCCATTCAATATTCTAATCTCCCATGTCTGCATTCAATATTCTAGTCTCTCATGTGCATGTGCACATACAATTCTTTTACTAGAAAAAAGGTGATGAGGGAACGGGGAGGAAAGGGGGGGGGGGGAATGTGGTGAACATTTGTGCACCAAGATGATTTTTCTGTTTCTCACCTTCCTCTTTCCTGTTTCTTCTTTTGTGTTCACCCTTGAGTTGGTGGTTGGTATATTGTGTTGCGGTTTACAGCTTGGATGCAATAATTTCATTTCAGTTCAGAACATGTGATTTCAGCAAACCCTTCACTTTATAACATGTTTTAAGAGACAGTTGATCTATTTTTATTTTTTACCTAAACCAGGTCACAGTGAACCTACACATGGAGAATGATTGATGAGACTGTGAACAACAAGTCATTGTTACTACTGATACATCTGCTAGATAACTGTGAACTACTCATTGTTTATACTGTTACAACTGCTAGATAACTGTGAACTTCTCATTGTTAATACTGATACATCTGCTAGATAACTGTGAACTACTCATTGTTAATACTGTTACATCTGCTAGATAACTGTGAACTTCTCATTGATAATACTGATACATCTGCTGGATAACTAAACAATTACTCATTGTTTATACTGTTACATCTGCTAGATAACTGTAAACTTCTCATTGTTAATACTGATACCATTGACATGTACAGTCTGCTAGAATGCAGAGACTCACTGGCATTGGGCGACACAAGTTAATTCTCTCAAATGTTTTTTCCATCTGCTTGACCAGAACTTTTCTTCTCCTCTGAGCTCTGCAACATTTTTAGGACACTTTTGATTGTTCTATTTCACAAAGTTTTCTCTAGCACACACACATGTGATATTGTTCTATTTCACAAAGTTTTCTCTAGCACACACACACGTGATATTGTTCTATTTCACAAAGTTTTCTCTAGCACACACACACGTGATATTGTTCAATTTCACAAAGTTTTCTCTAGCACACACACACGTGATATTGTTCTATTTCACACAGTTTTCTCTAGCACACACATGTGATATTGTTCTATTTCACAAAGTTTTCTCTAGCACACACACACGTGATATTGTTCAATTTCACAAAGTTTTCTCTAGCACACACACGTGATATTGTTCTATTTCACAAAGTTTTCTCTAGCACACACACGTGATATTGTTCTATTTCACAAAGTTTTCTCTAGCACACACACACACATGATATTACTAAGTCACTTTACCTCTGTCTGTTACTGCTCGCTATCTATTCAAAGTGCTCAGTACTTATTCAGTCTCAGATACAGACGAATACACCTCAAAGAACAGGATTCTGAGTGGTATAAAGTTTAATCACATTGATTAATCAGTGAACATCCTGTCTTCCGTCTACCATCTAGAATTCTATGCACCACAGATAGTAATTCAATCAACTGTACCTAACTTGTGTGGGCTCCGGGGCCCTATTAGAGGAAAAACAAGAATAGACCCACTGCCTACGCAAAAGCATGTTGTAAGAGTTGAATAATTGGGAGCATCCTTCAAAGTCAGAGTGCCTCTGCCTGAGAGACAAGAAACCAACAGTCTGTACACAAATTAGTCAGATCTGTCAAATGGATGCCCACACAACACTTAGGTTCTGAAACAGGATTGCAGTCCAGAAGTGGACGAAGAACAAGAACTTTCCGCTGGAGTTTACAGCTGGTGAACGTGAAGAAGAAGAAGAATCAACTGTACCTACAAATGGTATGATAAATGCTGATGGATGTTGAATCTTTCACACTGTAGAGCTCACTTTGGCTGGCTGGTTATGCCATCAGAACTTAGATTTCCATCACAAACATCACCACTGCTGAACTATCCAAACACACTGTATCTTGTACACTGGATGTGATAACATCACACAAGTCTATCCAAACACACTGTATCTTGTACACTGGATGTGATAACATCACACAAGTCTATCCAAACACACTATATCTTGTACACTGGATATGATAACATCACACAAGTCTATCCAAACACACTATATCTTGTACAATGGATGTGATAACATCACACAAGTCTATCCAAACACACTATATCTTGTACAATGGATGTGATAACATCACACAAGTCTATCCAACCATAAGCCCTCTTCATTCTTTGTTACCACCATTGATACCAGACACTCTGTCCCATGCTATTACATATAACACTTCACTCTTACACACATTTACCATGTCCCTTTCATTTAACAGCCTTTTCCTGTGTTATTCTAATTCTTGTCTCTCTCATCTCGTGACCTCTTTCCTGTCTTTTCTATTTTTATACAATAGGCTTTCTCGTCTCAACAAATTGAATTAAATGGGATTTCCCACCTTATAAGATAATAAAAACTTTGGACCAGTACAGATAACTGTATACATATTTGTTGATGCTGTTGACAATTTCATTTCCCAGAGTCCACAGTAGCACACACGTGATCACTTTATATACATGTTGCCCAAGTGAGTTCTGGGAATCCCTGTTTTGGAGGATTTGGATCCAGTGTATTTTCACTCATCCAGTACCATGTCACTCATCCAGTACCATGTCACTCATCCAGTACCATGTCACTCATCCAGTACCATGTCACTCATCCAGTACCATGTCACTCATCCAGTACCATGTCACTCATCCAGTACCATGTCACTCATCCAGTACCATGTCACTCATCCAGTACCATGTCACTCATCCAGTACCATGTCACTCATCCAGTACCATGTCACTCATCCAGTACCAAACTATTTACCATGTGTTTGCTGATCTGAGCTGATTAAAATATACTTCATGTTGATTTCGGTAGAAACAAAAATACTTTTCATTTGTTTTCAATTACGAAAAAAAATCTGTTGTTTTTAAACCAACGAATGATATTTTTACGTTGATTTCAACTGACTTACTATACTTTTATGTTAATTTCAACCAATATAATTTACTTTTCTGTTGATTTCAACTGATACCATATTTTTAAAAAACTATGTGATATGTGACAAAGCTGTATGGGACCCATCTGAATGTGACAAAGCTGTATGGGACCTATCTGAATGTGACAAAGCTGTATGGGACCCATCTGAATGTGACAAAGCTGTGTGGGACCCATCTGAATGTGACAAAGCTGTATGGAACCCATCTGAATGTGACAAAGCTGTATGGGACCTATCTGAATGTGACAAAGCTGAATGGGACCTATCTGAATGTGACAAAGCTGTACATGATAAAGCTCAATTACACCCATCCTATCTCCCACTCACACTCTTAAATATGGCGTCTATGATTCACAGATCTGAGAGGCAGCGTCTGTTTCACAGATCTGGGAGGCAGCGGAGTGTCACAACCTTATGAGAAGCTGCCCTACGGCCAGGGCTAACACTGGTCTACACCTACCTGCAGCCAGCCTGACAACTTCCCTACCAGGAACTTGGCTTATGTAGTCAAAGTGCATCTGAAAAGGAATGGAACCAATAGTCTGCATACGATAAGCCAGATCTGTAAAAATGAATGCACTCAAAGCACTCAAGTTGTGGAAGGAGATCAGAGCCCAGACATGGACAAACAACCAGCATTTTCTGCTGGAGTTCACAGCTCATTAATGCAAGGGAAGAAGAATTCACCGGTCTTGACCATCAGTTGACCATCAGTTGACCATCAGTTGTCCATCAGTTGTCCATCAGTTGTCCATCAGTTGTCCATCAGTTGTCCATCAGTTGACCATCAGTTGACCATCAGTTGTCCATCAGTTGACCATCAGTTGTCCATCAGTTGTCCATCAGTTGACCATCAGTTGACCATCAGTTGTCCATTGTTCTAGTAGTGAGCAAGTTTTACAGCTTTGCAAAAATATCATAATTATTATAATGGTATTTCTAACGATTGTTTTTGGATGGATAAGACCCCCCATCTTAATTCCGGGGCCCATCATGAGGAAAACAAGAACAGAGCCACTGCCTGCCCACCAAACAAGCATGTCATAAGAGTCCACTAATTGGGAGCTTCCTTTGAAGTTTGAGTGCAATACCAGAGCGGCAAGGAACAACCAGCTGCACAGACATAAGCCAGTAAAACGGATATACACACAGCAATTAGGCCCTGGCACAAAGCCAAGGTCCACATGGATGAACAACCAGGACTTTCCACCAGAGCTTACAGCCAGTGAACATAGAAGGAGAAGAAGAAGAAGGAGAAGAATAAGAAGAAGGAGAAGGATGGATGGTTAGGACATAAATTTTAAAAAAAGCATGAAAACATATTTATTGTTAGCATAAAAACACCACAAATTTGTTTAAACTAAACATGTGCCAGCTCACTTGATTATAAGGTGCGGGGAGTGGGAGCTGAGTAAAGTCCCAATTTCTCGATGTGTGAGGAAGTACATCAGGTCAGCGTCTGGTAAAGTTCCCTGTGTTGTACAAAAGAAAAAACAAAACAATAACAACAAGGCATTAGTTTATGCTGGGATTCAATCTCTCAGAGAAAAAACATAATTAATGAAATATGCGTGTACTGACACTGGACACCAGTGCAAGTGCCGTATGTAAGGAGTCAGGGCAGAATATTAGATGGGATTGTGTGCCCAATTCATAATACTTTAAAAATAAATTTTGCTCGTCCATTTGTTTATTTATCCATCTGTCTGTCTGTCTTTCTGTTTAAAAGTCTGTCTCTTCATCCAGTTATCAACTAATTCATCCCATTAGTCAGCTTATTTGTTCTGTCACAATTTTCTTTTCCTTCCATCTTTCTGTATGTGTGTCTCTCTCTCTCTCTCTCTCTGTCTCTGTCTCCTAAGATGTGAGAATGTATGTAGTTTGGAGCAATATGTATATTTTGCGTGGAGCAATATGTACATTTTGGGTGTTATTGTATGAGTGTGTTTATATAATTAGTGTGTCTATAGGTGAGCATGTGTAAACATTGTGTGTGAACTACGTGGAAGTTTTTGTGTGTAAATATGAGCATGTGTAAACATTGTGTGTGAGCTACGTGGAAGTTTTTGTGTGTAAATATGAGCATGTGTAAACATTGTGTGTGAGCTACGTGGAAGTTTTTGTGTGTAAATATGAGCATGTGTAAACATTGTGTGTGAGCTAAGTGGAAGTTTTTGTGTGTAAATATGAGCATGTATAAACATTGTGCGTGATCTACGTGGAAGTTTTTGTGTGTAAATATGAGCATGTGTAAACATTGTGTGTGAGCTACGTGGAAGTTTTTGTGTGTAAATATGAGCATGTGTAAACATTGTGTGTGAGCTACGTGGAAGTTTTTGTGTGTAAATATGAGCATGTGTAAACATTGTGTGTGAGCTAAGTGGAAGTTTTTGTGTGTAAATATGAGCATGTGTAAACATTGTGTGTGAGCTAAGTGGAAGTTTTTGTGTGTAAATATGAGCATGTATAAACATTGTGCGTGATCTACGTGGAAGTTTTTGTGTGTAAATATGAGCATGTGTAAACATTGTGTGTGAGCTAAGTGGAAGTTTTTGTGTGTAAATATGAGCATGTGTAAACATTGTGTGTGAGCTACGTGGAAGTTTTTGTGTGTAAATATGAGCATGTGTGAGAGTGTATTTCACTATATAAACATAAAATGCTTTGTAGATAACAATGCAGTTGATGTGTAAAAGAATGGTGTCCCAAAAGGCCAAATGTGAGACAGGTCTGCCTGTCCAATTTTTGTACCCTTGAAAAATTAGGTTATTTTCTTTTGTTTGTTCATCCTGCAAGTCTTTATTGTGCAAGTTAGGAATCTGGGAGCTGTGATAGTATGGTGGTTAGATTTTGCCTGTAGGTCCAAAGGTTCAAAAACACAAAGGAAAAGATTTTAAAAATAGGTTGATCCAGCCTTCATTGGTTGCCAGAAAATTGTCTAGGAAGTAAAGACGGCTGGCACAATGTTGACTACATCATCATCATGTGCAATTCGGTTTAAACAGACAGTGGTCTAGCACTTGATGTGGCAGTGTCCTTGGCTTGGCTTGACTTTGTTTCACTTGACCTGACTTGACTTTGTTGACTTGACTGTTGACTTTGTTTTACTTGAAAAATTACTACTACTAAACTATTGCTAGACTGCAGTATTTATGATTCTAACCCAACACATCCAATTTAAGAAAATCCTTAGTGGCATTTGATGACACATTTGTGAATGGACAGTGAATTTGCCCCCCCCCCCCCTTCCCATTTCCCCCTCACTGCCATTGGAGTCCTGGAACTCATAGGAAAGACTGGTAATAAATGGCTGCAGTTGGGGTCAAGGGTCAGCTGAAAGATTCATACCTCTTTGTGTAGAAGAGTTGCAAGTCTGGAATGTGCCAGTTTGAATATCTCACTCATCTGGACTGATACTGACTGTTGTTGGGAAGGCAGAAACCACAATGTATGAATGTATGCACAACAGAAAGATAATTGTCTGAATACCTCAGTGTAACAACATTACTCTTATCTTACAACAATACATATTTAGGAATACAGGGCACAATACTGAAACAAACAACGGACTGAGCAGGAAACCATTGACTAATGCTGACAGGACTACCATCTAGGAGATGTACAGTGACATCTGTCAAGGTTGGGAGTCCATGTGGTGTAGTGCCTAGGTGACTGTTGGCCTAGAAATCGTAGGTTTGAAGCTACACGAGGAGAAAAAACCTGATATGGCTCCAAATGTGACCCAGCCTGAAACTTGTACAGGAAATGGCCAGCATGATGTTGGCAGCTCATCCCTGAGGACCAGTAAGTCTATACAAATATTAGCCTAGCTCATCCCTGAGGACCAGTAAGTTTATACATATTACCCTAGCTCATCCCTGAGGACCAGTAAGTCTATACAAATATTAGCCTAGCTCATCCCTGAGGACCAGTAAGTCTATACAAATATTAGCCTAGCTCATCCCTGAGGACCAGTAAGTCTATACAAATATTACCCTAGCTCATCCCTGAGGACCAGTAAGTTTATACATATTACCCTAGCTCATCCCTGAGGACCAGTAAGTCTATACAAATATTAGCCTAGCTCATCCCTGAGGACCAGTAAGTCTATACAAATATTAGCCTAGCTCATCCCTGAGGACCAGTAAGTTTATACATATTACCCTAGCTCATCCCTGAGGACCAGTAAGTCTATACAAATATTAGCCTAGCTCATCCCTGAGGACCAGTAAGTTTATACATATTAGCCTAGCTCATCCCTGAGGACCAGTAAGTCTATACAAATATTAGCCTAGCTCATCCCTGAGGACCAGTAAGTCTATACATATTACCCTAGCTCATCCCTGAGGACCAGTAAGTCTATACAAATATTACCCTAGCTCATCCCTGAGGACCAGTAAGTCTATACATATTACCCTAGCTCATCCCTGAGGACCAGTAAGTCTATACATATTAGCCTAGCTCATTCCTGAGGACCAGTAAGTTTATACATATTACCCTAGCTCATCCCTGAGGACCAGTAAGTCTATACATATTACCCTAGCTCATCCCTGAGGACCAGTAAGTCTATACATATTAGCCTAGCTCATCCCTGAGGACCAGTAAGTCTATACATATTACCCTAGCTCATCCCTGAGGACCAGTAAGTCTATACAAATATTAGCCTAGCTCATCCCTGAGGACCAGTAAGTCTATACAAATATTACCCTAGCTCATCCCTGAGGACCAGTAAGTCTATACATATTACCCTAGCTCATCCCTGAGGACCAGTAATTTATACAAATATTAGCCTAGCTCATCCCTGAGGACCAGTAAGTCTACAAATATTAGCCTAGCTCATCCCTGAGGACCAGTAAGTCTACAAATATTAGCCTAGCTCATCCCTGAGGACCAGTAAGTCTACAAATATTAGCCTAGCTCATCCCTGAGGACCAGTAAGTCTATACAAATTAGCCTAGCTCATCCCTGAGGACCAGTAAGTCTACAAATATTAGCCTAGCTCATCCCTGAGGACCAGTAAGTCTATACAAATTAGCCTAGCTCATCCCTGAAGACCAGTAAGTCTATACAAATATTAGCCTAGCTCATCCCTGAGGACCAGTAAGTCTACACAAATATTAGCCTAGTTCATCCCTGAGGACCAGTAAGTTTATACAAATATTAGCCTAGCTCATCCCTGAGGACCAGTAAGTCTATACAAATATTAGCCTAGCTCATCCCTGAGGACCAGTAAGTCTATACAAATATTAGCCTAGCTCATCCCTGAGGACCAGTAAGTCTATACAAATATTAGCCTAGCTCATCCCTGAGGACCAGTAAGTCTATACAAATATTAGCCTAGCTCATCCCTGAGGACCAGTAAGTCTATACAAATATTAGCCTAGCTCATCCCTGAGGACCAGTAAGTCTATACAAATATTAGCCTAGCTCATCCCTGAGGACCAGTAAGTCTATACAAATATTACCCTAGCTCATTCCTGAGGACCAGTAAGTCTATACAAATATTAGCCTAGCTCATCCCTGAGGACCAGTAAGTCTATACAAATATTAGCCTAGCTCATTCCTGAGGACCAGTAAGTCTATACAAATATTAGCCTAGCTCATCCCACTTTTATGGATTAGACCATTATCTGCTAGTGTTGATAATGCGGATACATCTATCACTTGTCTATCACTCATCTATCACTTGTCTATCACTCATCTATCACTCATCTATCACTCGTCTATCACTCATCTATCACTTGTCTATCACTCATCTATCACTTGTCTATCACTCATCTATCATCTTTTTACGATTAGTTTGTCATCAGTCTACCACCAACCCATCACTAGTCGAACAATATCACTGGACACTCATGAATCTATCATTCTTTTACTATTAGTCTAGACCCTAACTGTTTCGGACAAGGATTGAATGTTACCTTTAACAAACAACAACAAAAACAACAACAACATATCAAACTATGGCAGTCAGCTTTCAATGATTGCTCCCCATAATCTGACGATGTCTCCAGCCTTCAGTGACAATAACCTATGTCAACCCATCCTTCATCGATAGTTTATTGTGTTAACAATGGAGCCAGCATCATTTACCCAATATGAGATCCCTAACTAATCTTTACTTAAACTTCTCTCAGTACCAACCTCTACTAGACATAAACCTAAACTTCTGCCAGTACCAGCCTCTACTAGACATAAACCTAAACTTCTGCCAGTACCAACCTCTACTAGACATACACCTAAACTTCTGCCAGTACCTGCCTCTACTAGACACACACCTAAACTTCTGCCAGTACCAACCTCTACTAGACACACACCTAAACTTCTCTCATTACCAACCTCTACTAGACATACACTTAAACTTCTCTCATTACCAACCTCTACTAGACATACACCTAAACTTCTCTCATTACCAACCTCTACTAGACATACACCTAAACTTCTCTCATTACCAACCTCTACTAGACATACACCTAAACTTCTCTCATTATCAACCTCTACTAGACGTAAACCTAAACTTCTGCCAGTACCAACCTCTACTAGACATAAACCTAAACTTCTGCCAGTACCAGCCTCTACTAGACATAAACCTAAACTTCTGCCAGTACCAACCGCTACTAGACATACACCTAAACTTCTGCCAGTACCAGCCTCTACTAGACATACACCTAAACTTCTGCCAGTACCAGCCTCTACTAGACATACACCTAAACTTCTGCCAGTACCAACCTCTACTAGACATAAACCTAAACTTCTGCCAGTACCAGCCTCTACTAGACACACACCTAAACTTCTGCCAGTACCAACCTCTACTAGACACACACCTAAACTTCTGCCAGTACCAACCTCTACTAGACATACACCTAAACTTCTGCCAGTACCAACCTTGCCCCACTCCCTGGTCGCCACCTCCTTCCATGCTCTTGGCAACAGCATTCTGAGGATCAGTCTGTGTAACACAATTTATATACACTACGTGAGCCTGAGACACAAATTACATACACTACATGAGCCTGGGACACAAATTACATACACTACATGAGCCTGAGACACAAATTACATACACTACATGAGCCTGAGACACAAATTACATACACTACATGAGCCTGGGACACAAATTACATACACTACATGAGCCTGAGACACACATTACATACACTACATGAGCCTGGGACACAAATTACATACACTACATGAGCCTGGGACACAAATTACATATACTACATGAGCCTGGGACACAAATTACATACACTACATGAGCCTGGGACACAAATTACATACACTACATGAGCCTGGGACACAAATTACATACACTACATGAGCCTGAGACACAAATTACATACACTACATGAGCCTGGGATACAAATTACATACACTACATGAGCCTGGGACACAAATTACATTACTTACCACATTAACATAATGTGGTAGTGTTAGTAAACACACACAAGCTACACAGATCACAGAGCTATCAAGGGTTAATGCCAGAAGTCAGGAGAAGTGGACAGGTACCAGTAGACAAGATCCTGTAGGATTTCTTTATCAAACATTAAACAGAATTGGTCAGGGTAGTTCAGATTATGGCCAGGGGGTAATGACATCTGCAGTGGATAGTGGCAAAGACTGGCCAGAAAGTGACCTCTTAGTGATCACACGTGCAAGTAAAAGATCAATCGTAGCTACAAGCAGAGAGACATGACTGAAAGGACTCCCAAGGTTAACTGTCAATCAGTAGTCACTACATGTCTGTATCATCAGTAGTCGCTACATGTCTGTAGCATCCGTAGTCACTACATGTCTGTATCATCAGTGGTCACTACATGTCTGTAGCATCAGTGGTCACTACATGTCTGTATCATCAGTAGTCACTACATGTCTGTAGCATCAGTAGTCACTACATGTCTGTATCATCAGTAGTCACTACATGTCTGTATCATCAGTAGTCACTACATGTCTGTATCATCAGTAGTCACTACATGTCTGTATCATCAGTGGTCACTACATGTCTGTATCATCAGTGGTCACTACATGTCTGTAGCATCAGTAGTCACTACATGTCTGTAGCATCAGTAGTCACTACATGTCTGTATCATCAGTAGTCACTACATGTCTGTATCATCAGTGGTCATTACATGTCTGTATCATCAGTAGTCACTACATGTCTGTATCATCAGTAGTCACTACATGTCTGTATCATCAGTAGTCACTACATGTCTGTATCATCAGTAGTCACTACATGTCTGTATCATCAGTAGTCACTACATGTCTGTATCATCAGTAGTCACTACATGTCTGTATCATCAGTAGTCATTACATGTCTGTATCATCAGTAGTCATTACATGTCTGTATCATCAGTAGTCACTACATGTCTGTATCATCAGTAGTCACTACATGTCTGTATCATCAGTAGTCATTACAT